GCCGCTTGAATATCTTCAAGGCCGTGGCTGCTGGCATCCGCGGCCTGACTCTTCCCCCGCCATCCGAGTCCACCCAAGTCCTGAACCCGAACGATGACCTAAGCACGTGTGGCACGTTGGAAGACAACACGCACTATGTTGGCGGCGACTTGGCTTCGTTCAATCGGACGACTGTTGAATCCTGCTGCGCTGAATGTAAAAAGACACCGCGATGCAAAGCGTTTGTGTGGTATACCCTCAACGGTGGCTTGTGCTGGCTCAAGCACACCCAAGGCCCAAAGGCGGATGCGGACGGAGCCAAGGCGGGGGTGCTACCAGCCCCAGCCTCGGGACGACGGCCGTAGTTTTAGATCAGCTATTACCATCATCAACAAACTCAACGACAAAAATTTGACATTAAACACACTCAACTTAATATTTCGATAAATACTATCGAGATAATTTGATTGTGTCAAAAGGGAGTGTCCGGATAACCATTTCGATCGCAAATTTCTGCCATGCTTATTCGGCCGAAAATATCCTGAAAAACAGAATACTACTCCAAGGGACCAATTCCCCGAGTGAGTGGGTGACACACCCACTCAAATGCCCACTCACTCAGGGAATTTGGTACTATTGACCTAAAACGTCCCTGAGTAAGTTGGGTGGGACTAATTGCTTGCTACGATAAGTACAATCCTATCGTTAACGTGAAACACAAAGGCATACAACGTTGTACACCGTTAATCGTACCAACGGTGAATGGTACGTACTGTAGGGGAGGCAGTTTTTCACTAGTGGTATTTTGGGGTTCTGCTCATGGATGTTCAAGTAGAGTTAGACATGGGGCTTCACTCGTGGTTAAATGGTGTGGTGGAGTTTTACTTAGTGGGCATTGTTGGACTGTTGCTTCATAGTCGAGCAGCCCAGTAAGTGTAATATCACTCCATCATAGCTAACGTAAAACAAGCAAACAAGCCGTGGGCCCTATATCTTTGTGAAGGTAATCGTGTTAGAGTGACACGAGACGCCCCTGGCGACCTTAAGCGGTCCAACTTGAAATTCCTCTATAGTGCTGCGGTGTTTGATGTCCCTGTTGATGATCATAGTTTTGTAGACGGGTTGGTAGCGAAATGCACCAAGTCGACTCGTCATGCAAAGTCTGGTTATGGTGACGATGCATACTTCACTTGTAACTCCAACTTCACGACTTGGACGATTATGTAGTATAACAAGATCATGAAAATGTCTTCAACTCTGTAATGTCTCGCACACACGCCATGTCCTCAGTGATAGTGCTGTCACCGGACATCCGGATACGTCTGCAAGCGAGGAGAATCCATGGAAATCCATGGAAATCTATGAAATCACTTATGGCAAAAGGGAATACTAGTTGATTTGCAGGTGACAAAAATCAGGTTCTCATGGTGTGAAGCGCTCTGTGGGCTTCAGAAACGATGATTTCTTGTTTGTGAAAGGACTTTTCGAAACTAAAAATGTCTTCAGCCAATCGCTGAGTGGACATGCATTTCGAAAGGTTATAGAAATCAATTAGCCAATCGTTTGAGTGCACATGCATTTCGAAAGGTTTTCTTCAAACCCTAACCTGAGCAGCACACACGCCATTGCTGTGCTTGACTATGTCACCGGACATCTGGATACGACTGCAAGCGAGAAGGGCAGTACAATGTACGTACACATGCACTGTGTATTCAGCGGCACATATCTTGAAGGAGTAATATTACGTATTTCGGACGTTACTTCACTTGAATAACATACTAAGTATTCAATGCACTGTACGTATACTTGGTAGTATTCAACTGCACATATTTTACAGGATTAATATGACGTATTTTTAATGTTACTTATTAACATACACTATGTACAGAACTGTTCATATACGATGTATGCACTGTATATTCAACAGGAAATATATTAAAGATTATTATGACGTATGTTGAATGATACGGAGTTTTCTTTAGTCAAAGCTCTTTAGTTAGATTTAGATGGAAGGAAATTAATATGTTTGGAATTGAAGTCATAAAATTGTAACGATGGCCGCTACAAACAGTGATCATTGATATGCCGAAATATAGATTTGATTAAAGTATTGGAAATGCTTCGAGCAAACGATACAAATATCTATTTATAAAAGCAAATGCTGGTAAGTATCATGCGCTCAACGTACCTCTGAACAAGGTTGAAACTCATGCGCTCAACGTACCTCTGAACAAGGTTGAAACTCTATATAACAAAATTCCCCGAATAATACAACTAACTAAAGTTTCATTGCTGCGGTAATAGTTTTATCCAATCATATCAATTCTGGAATCCTATTGGGCAAGACGTTCGGCAAATCATTGATTGTTTACGGTATCACCGAATGGGCCACTGAATTTGTTTATACCTTTGTACTACGGTATCACCGAATGGGCCACTGAATTTGTTTATACCTTTGTAGTACATTACTACGTAGTAGTATGGATAATTCTCCTATAAATCAGATATAGCTTGATATAATTACGAGGAAACACAGTGAAAATCAATCATCATAGTACTTCTTTGCTGTACTATTAATACCGACTAAGTAGTAGTACTACGTAGTAGTTGTACGGTACTATTAACTGTTAATAGTAGTACCAATACTGTATTAGTAGTACCTTGTGCTGTACTGTAGTATATGCAGTGTCAAATATCGTCCTTTACAGTACCAGGTACTGTTCACTACTACTAAGTACTGTACTGTAGTACAGTACAACGTAATACGTACAGTATATCAATCATTAACTGTAAGCTTACTCGATGTATGTGGTATCAAATTTTGTCCTTCTAGTACTAGTACTAGACAAAGTACAGGCATCATGCTCTCATCGGATGTACCAGTCCTTTCTTTGAATGCAAGGTTAACTGAAAATTACTCCATTCTGTACTTCCGCGTGGAGTAACTTACGTACTTCACTTGATTAGCATATACTAATCTTAGTACAATCTACTGTACGTGTACACTCTAGTGAACTCAGGAAGAGTACAGTAGTACTGTACAGAATATCAGTCAAATAAGACTATTGTTGATTACATATCCCCACACTTGGATTTGAACAGTGATTACTTAACTGTAGTCAAAATGGTGCATTGAATATCTTGAGATAGCTTAATATGACGCATTTTGACGGTTACGTTGACCTTGACTAAAGTATGTATTGATTATTTTGACGCTTACCTTACACTTGATTAATGTATTGCGCACAATCGAAAACATCGACAACGACAACAACATACATGATCCGAAATCTTCACCCCAACGCAGAGAGACTGCGAACATCGACAACAACATCTTGATCGCCCAAAATCTCTACCCCAACGCAGAGAGACTGCGAACATCGCCCGAAATCTTCACTCCAACGCAGAGAGACTGCGAACATCGCCCGAAATCTTTCACCCCAACGCAGAGGAGACTGCGAACAGACAAAAACATCGAAATCATCGTCGTGATCGCCCGAAATCTTCACCCCAACGCAGAGGACACTGCGAACAGCTGATCTGGTACATACAACAGCTGACCTGATACATATTTCCCAGCGTGTTACGCATGGCAAGTCAAGTGCTACATCCAGCTCGAGAACCATTTGTCTCATTTTGCAATTTCCATTGACCCAACAACATCATGGTTCAGTACCAGTTCATTGCCCTCACCGCCACCGCCGTCACCGCCGCCACGGACAAGATCTCGGTCCAAGTGCATCTCAACTTGGAAATTGCCAAGTAGTCGAATATCGTGGTGAAATTTCACTGTGACGAGGCTCGGTGGGGGCGTTGTTGATGTACATGAAACATTGGATCCATGTCGTGGCCATTTTCACAGCCGTCGATTCAACTTGGTTGGCCAGGAGCGACTTGACCGACGCCTGAAACTTGGTGGTGTGCTCCTTCATCGTATTAACCAGCGACTCGATGGTTTCGGTGCAAGACGCGCCGCTCTTGAGTCGGCGGCGGTGGGTGGTGAGGAGTCCACAAGTTCGCGGCGTTGCCGGAAGTCGAATCCATTTACGAGCCAGTTACAATGACACTCGGTGAAACCCAAAGCAATGACAAACCAGCAAGTGCTGTCAATGACGACATCGAATGGGGGGTCGAGAAGATCCAAGCGCCGGCGCTATGACGTTTGAATGACGTGGATGACGAAGCTTGGAGGGTGATAATGATGTCAGGGGCACGCAGTTAGTCCTGATTTGGTTGCTTGACGGGATCCGTGCCCTGGAGTTATGAGGGGTACGTGTATGCACCACGTACCTCCATGGCATGAATCATTCATCCAACCGCCAAGCAATCCAATGAGAAATAGATCCATGGCCCAGGCTCTACGAACCCACCAAACACCATGACTGGCGCCGTATAAACATGCACGAACCTCCAAATATGGCAAAAACAACGTCCAGCCCAAACACCCTGCCATGTTTGCAAGGTGTGGTGTCGGTCATAGGTGTAGATAGCTCTTGGGGATGTCACTGGTGTATGGTATGACCCGAGATGGCGGTGCACAGTTACTGGGACGGACGGAATGCAACGCCCACCGAAGATTTTTGAGTATCAGAATAAATTTCATCCAATAATACTCAAGATTCGAAATACTCTTCTCTTATTCGTGGAATTTTTATTCTTCGCGCCAGCGGGAAAAACTTGGCTTTCAAAAAATTACGTGCACATCGAAATATGAGGCGCGCGTCGTATCCGATCTCAACTAAGCTAGAAGCCATCGGCCTACTTGAGACCTTATCTGGTCGAGAGGTGGCGAAGCTAATGGGCGTCCCACGACGAACTGTACGATCATGGTACGCTCAGCGCTTTGAGCTCCTTTCCTTCGATGGCAACAAGAAGAACAAGAAGATCGAACCAGGTGGACGATACGAAGAGTTCCCAGACCCACCAGGTTTAGTAGGATTTATAAACAAAATGAGAGATGACGAACGTGCTCTAACGACGACTCACATGATCACCTGGATCAAGATCAACCAAAGGGCGTGGTTGATGTCGTACCTTGCAACGAAGAAGTCTGACGTCGCATATGACTCACTCCTCAGACTGCTGCGTCGCTTCTGCCAGCGCTATGGATTCTCTCGACAGCGGCAGACAAAGAACAAGCTCAAGCAGGCGGTCTTGACTGAAGTCCACGACGAGTTCGCCCGCGATTTCCATCGGGAATACCAATCCTACGAGAACGACTGCGTATTCAACGTCGACGAGACAGCGATGTACTACAACCTCCCTCCAACGTACATTTGGGCTGTTCGGGGCGGCAGCGCCAAGATCTCAACGGGGGAAAAGCATTCGATGCGCATGACAGCGGTCCTAACGGCGCGAT